GAGTAAATTGCAAAAAAAAAAAAAAATTCATATATTTTTTATTTTTTTTATATATTTATTTTAATTTTTATAAAATTTGATATGTAAATACATGATAATAACAGAAGGAGACAATTGTTTTTACAATTTAAATTGTATGTGTGATATATAGTATCTAAAATTTTAATAAAATAAAAATATAAAATATCCTCCTATATACATACATTTTGTAGACATATTTTACTTTATAGATTTTTTTAATGTGCAATGATTTTAATTTTAGACATGATATAAATATAAAACGTATAAGTGCATATAATATATCACATTTGACCTACTTGGAAAAGATAACAGATTTCAATTTCACATCGAACGATTTCAATCTTGAGTCAGATATACAGATCTTAACGAAAGTCTTTGTCTAGGTAAAACGATAAGCATCGAAGTATGCCAGAGCGCTCTATTATCCACGCACAAGGTTGCGAGCAAAATATTAACAATTGAATTTTTTTCTTTCTACTCGAGGATTTGGAATCCGAGCTCGTGTTGGTTTGAAAAAATCGGAGCACGTCGATTGGTTGAACCCGCGAGAACGGTCACGATAGTTGATTCGGGACCGTGCGACCGACGAACAAAAGCCAAGAATTTGGCCGGCGAAAACGTCGAGGCCGATAGCTAGCGCGCCTCGGCTATCATCGAGGAGTTTACGCTCCTCCTGCGGTGGCACCTCGCGAGGAAGAAGAAGGGCATCGCCGACGCGGAGAGAAGGGGCCCGCGAGACGGGCCCCTTTCTCGCGCGCGCGTCGACGCGCTCGCCGTGGAATGGCAAAAAGGAGAGGAGGCCCTGTGACGTCACGAGACTCGCGCAGCGGTGCCGCTAGCCTCTCACTTGGCCGCCGACGTTCGGCCCGCTCGGTTCATCGCGCTCGTCAGCTCCATCCGCTTCATCTTGCTCCCTCGCGAGATCTCTTGAATTTCGCGCTTTCGAAGACGAGAAGAAAACCGGAAGAAACGGAGAACAAAAAGGGAGCGAAGAAAGGTACACGCAGAGACAGTTTCGGCGGTCATATTCGCACGCGAACGGAAGTGTTGAACGGGAACGACAATTGTGCGATTGCGCGGTGACACGAGTACACGGATATCGCGAATACGCGTTAGGGTTATAGTCCCCGATATATAAACCGCGAGTTCCGCTTCGCGTCGCGCTTTTGGTGGTGAAGAGTTTTTGTATTCTCGTTTTTTTCTTGATTGTGTGCCATGACACCCTGGATATGATACCGGATGGATTAAGCTGCCGTCGCGGGGTAAGTGACTTTTGTCTCGCCGCGCGACTTTAGATCTACGGATCGTTGCTCTTTGCGATTGTAGAACATATCGCAGCTTCGTTATAGGAAGTTCGTTGTCCTCGGGTTTGAATGCGCGCTTCTTTTCGAAGCGCGCTGATGATTGATACGAAAGATTTTAAAGAGAATTGAGACTTTAAATATTTGAAAATTAAATGCTTGGAATATTTTTAGTTATAAAAATTAAATATTTTTTTAGATACTTATTTTAATTCAGATTTTTAATATTTGAACATTAAATGCTTGGAATATTTTTAGTTATAAAAATTAAATATTTTTTTCTCGTAAATAATAGAACTATTATCCTTGATTATCCCAATTTCCGATTAATAGGATGCTCATCATTCGAGCGTTCAATCTGTATTTTTCCCGTAATCTTTTTTCATGTTAAGTAACGGTATCGTATTTTATATCGCTTAAAATAGATTAATAATTGTACAATATTATGAATGATGCTTCACCTCGGAGATATAGTAGAACTGCTTTTGTAAATACAATATCGACAACGGGGATCATCAAAGTCGAGGAAGATGTTATGCTACGAGAGGATTATATACCAGTTCGGTTAATTAAAGTTACTTCATGGATCCCTAACGCCCGTTTCTGTCATTCGATAGAATCTCTCCAAGACAAGCGTCGTCATTTGCACATTTTTCGCGCTGAAGAAACGTGACCACCTGTTCCCGTGTTATACAGCATGCCCCAAAAAGATGTACATATTAATAACAAGACACGAAGCAAAATTTTATTTTACGCGTAATTTCCAGTCGAAGTTTTACTATGAAAATTTTAAACATATTGTTTAACGATTAAATTGACAAGTAAAAACTTATCACAGAAAAATTATTATAGTAATTAAAATATATCATTTGAGATTAAAAATATTTGACATAATTAAATATTTTAATTATATTCAAATTAAATATTTTAATGAAAAACTAATACCTAATTCAAAAAAATTGTTTTGAGACATCCTGTATTTGGCAGCGAATTATTTTTGCCGTTATGTCGGTCTTAAAGGCCTTTAACGGTTTATGTCTATGACAAAATTCAATTTCCGTGGATACAGATTTAATATAATTATATCCTGACAAAGGAACGAGAACAGAGGTTTTCAGCGGTAAGCATCGCGAATGTAAGTTTTTTTATTTTTTAAACAATCGTTTTTGTATCAAACCCGCGACGAGAAAGCTGCGAAACTATTTGATTGGGCTCGGTAAATGAACTCGTAAATGAACTTCTACTACAGTCGTTAAATTTGTGGGTCATTATTTTTCCACAAGAGATATCGATTTTATCGCCGACACATCCGGTTCCCGCTCGTCTTTGTTACGGTTCGTGGTGTGTGACACAACTTTATCATAAATTTATGAAAGTGTACGAAAATATTTGTTTTTAAGTTAATTTTTCTCTGCTGCTTTAATTCTCTCATTTCAATCGATATTTCTGAAGGCTCCATTGCAAAAATTGCGGCTATCGTTGTTTTTTTCCCTTTTTTAAGTCTTTTTTAATTTTTTTTCCCCCTTTTTTAAGTCTTAAGTTGTAACGTGAATTTTACGTTTTTTTTCTGATATAAAAATGAATTAAAGCGATCTTTAACTCTTTATGTTTATTTATATCCGTAAAGATTCTCTTCATTAACATACAATACACATTTATTAATTTGGTTTTACTCTGAACACGTAAATGGATTTTTTCTAGAAGGAGAAAAAAGAACATTCGAATTTTTAAGGTGGATATTACAGATCGAAGATTAATTAAAATTTTATAAATTTTAAAACATTAACAAACTTTTTTTTAATTAGCAAAGAAAAACCATTGCTCAAATATTTCTCCCTCTATTTCATTAAAAATAACTGGAAAAAGCAATTACGGAAAATTAACATAACTGATTTAAATAATTTATTAAAGACTCTCTTCATTAATTTTATAATAATATAATCTTATGAATTTCTAATCCCTAATCGCGTTTAATCTTAATGAATTATGCCAAAAAAGTTGAATGTACTTGATAATAATATTTTAATACACGTACAACTGCAATATATTTTATTCTATTACATAGCATGAAAAGTTGTGACTCTGAAAAATCACGCGAGGGGATTGACCTTTGAAGGTGGGCCGCGTGAGACGAATACGCGTAAGTCTGAAATAAATCGTAGATTCGCTTCGAAATACATGTATCAAATACGGGCGTGTATCTGCCTCTGTCATCTTGAAACCGATATTATGGGAAACGCGAATTGTCGCGTAAAAAAACATAATTGAAAATGTTCAGCCATTTATTGCGGTAGATAATCACCGATCCATGTTAGTCGGTGGCATCGCGAGAACATTTATGTAAGCCCCGCATTCTGAAAGAGCGCGAATGCCCGCGGGATATTCCGCAAATATCTCACAATCGCGAATAGTTAACAGGCCGCTCTCACAGCAGGCATTTTCTTAGAATCTCTTGTGTTAAGAAAAAAATGAAATTCATAAAAATTAGAACTCTATTTAGCTCGATATTTTAACCGGATGTATAAAATGATGTAAATAAATCAGTCTATCGTAGAGAGGTAGAGTAATTAAATTGACAAATAATATAAATAATAAAAGTGATGTATAAATTATTCACCACACACAGTTGCTTTGCTGTCACCCAATGCCTCTCCCCTTCGTGCTAGATTTCCTTCTCTCTTCACTTTGCTGTTTCTTTGTGGCACTCACACAACATTCGCGAAAGTGCATTCACGATACGATCGCGCAGAATCACGATAATCAGGCACTCAGCATGACATTTTCAACGTTGATCGCACACGACGCGAATCTGATTATATTACGATGAGAGAATCGTAATCATCGCGGAAACTAAGATCACACAAAATTATGATTCATTCAACGTCCGAAAATCACGCGATACTAAATTCATCTGCCGTGACAACGCTACGTCTGTTACTAATAAATATTATGCTCCCTTGTTTTAGCACGATTACTATTTTGTATTATAATATGACCGCGAATAAATAATATCAGATTACGAGTTTAAAATTCCGTGGAACGTAATATCCGAAAATGTACTTGCTTCCTTGATTACTGATTACTGTCAATACGAATATGATAGTATATTGTACTAAAGTAGGCGAAAAATTTAAAAGCGCGACGCAAGATATGTTTGACTCTAAATATTTACAAATGTAATATATGGCTCACAAATATAATTAGATTAAAATAATAATATTTGCGCATTAAAATAATAATTCTCTGCCGTTTTGATTCCTATTTTAAATGAATATATCGTACGAGAAAGTATTTGCTTTGATAAATAGCCATCGCTTCAGTAACTCGCTTACGAGTCGTCAACAAGTCGCCAAGGAATTAATTAATCGCGCGGGCTGATAATTAATTTATTTGGTAGATAATGTATGTGGATCGTGTTTGGTATCTCGTAATAGTACTTATTGCGCTCGTGAGATAATGTGATGATAGACGGAACACCAGAGAGGGATTGAACGAAATTGTAAAAATTTACAATTAGTTATGAAATAACAGTAATTTACTTATATCTTTTTTTTTCCAAAAAACAGTTATAAAATGAAATCTATTTACTAAAATTTTTATTCATGAAATTTTAAATAAACGGAAAACTTTTATTTTTTTGGAAGTAGAAAAAAGTTACAGACAAACAGAAACTTTTATTCTGCATTGAACAAGTAAAAGATCCTCTAGATGATCAAGCAGTGACACGAGAACGAATATTAATGAAAATAATTGAAAAATATCTTACTTTTAAAGTTAAATATTGAATAATATATTAATTATTGTTTGTTTATGTTTTTTTTTTCAAATTTCTTCTTATATACTGTTCGTAAAATAAAATAGATATAACAAATTATAACCTGCTTTTTCTTCTATGTCCATCCTACTTTTAATTCTTTAAATAATATTAATTAAGATAAGTTCTAACTTTTATATTTTACCTTAAAATAAATTTTAAAAAATATATCTTTCTTCAGAACTTTTTTAAAATATAAAATAACTGTTAAAAATGAACTTTTACAGTAATGTTTAAATATTAATGTAAAAATTAAAACTCAAAACAGAAAATAAATTATTTAAAAGTTAAAAGTTCACAAATAATTTTTATTTATAATAGTTAACAGTTTTATTCAATCCCTGCGGAACACGGAGTATCTCGCCCCACTCCGGAATGTCGCGCCGTGAGAATGACAAGCCCATGGCATGTAAACAATAGCGTGCTATACGTCGCAAAGCGAATGAGCGTCGAAAAGTGCATGATGATTGATTGATTCGTTATCGCCACGAAATATTTAATATTCTACGAAATAAGATTATTAAATATATTGTATTCTTTGGATTTCAAATTGATTATTCATAAATGATTGTATTACGGCGTTTCATTACTTTAATATAACGCGGTATTACTTTGTTGTTATTCGCGAGACTCGAGAAGACAGGTAGTGACGTGAAACGTTTTATATATCGCATTATCTTTTGAAAAAAGTGAAAGACTGAAAGAAAGCGATTATTCGCGCTACGATTATTATAATTAGAGATTATAAGCTCGCGCGATGGATTAAGTTCCGCGACTAACGACATAAAAGTATCACGGTAACAGCACGTAAAAATATAGCGAATCATAGCTTTGCGCGATCTGTAAGAAAAACTAGTATTACGAGAGAACTGAATCGCTATTAAAAGCTGTCGAGATAGAAAAGAACTTTATGCGGATAACAATATACACAGAGAAATTATCATAGTAAAAATTACAATATAATTTTTGTAATCGTAAAACATACTAATCTATATATAAGAAAAATCATGAGAGAGAAAAAGATATTTTTATTCAATAACATTATACATATACGTATTTTAAAGGAGTATTATAAATTATTTAAATATTTTACATAATCATTAAAAACAATAAAACAAATGCATAATTAACAATTTTTATAGTAATA